CATATATAACGTTTACCGAGGCAGTATGCTGTTTAACTCATATGGATACTAATTTTACCGCGTACTATGATGGGGAAACTTAAAAAAAGTTAACAGGTATGAATCATAGAGAAAGTAGGGGAGCAAATGACTCTGGCAAGGCATGACACAAGGAGGGGGTTAGGGGTGGGAAGGAATTAGGTAGTTAAGTTAGGTCACCACAAGTCTAACTTCTCCGGAAATCGTGAGTATTGATTTTCCACATTTTAAAAATGTGATGACTTCACTAATTCAAGATGGTAATTATCTCCACTGAATTTGGAGTGTATCAACCCGTTGATAAATTTTTATAGGTGTATCATTTTATCTGCATATTTTATTTGTAATAAACATTATTAAGTGTGTAATTATTGGTGCATTTTCATATTTTTATTATGAATGTCAAAAGGCTTTGTTTGAGATTAAGAGCAATTCCAGTAGAATAATCGATTGTTATCTTTTTCTTTTGGGGGGGGGGGGGGGTAGGACTTTCCAGATATACGTATTATCGTTTGACATAAAATATCGGTCCTGTGGGGTTAAGGTAAGTACGCAAGAGGAAAGCGAGAAGTAGGGTTTTGAACAAAAAATCTTAACTGAAAAAGTGTCCAAGAACAAACTAGAAGGCACAGGATAATGTTTTCTGCTTGCGGGGATATCCACATTATTATTATTAAGCCACTTGCTGGGAATTCTGGATTGATTAAACTCCCGCCCTAGGGAATCTACACAATCTGATCCCATGTGTGATGTGGAAATGATTTGCTTATCACAATAAATATTGACAATTAACTGACTTAAATCCGCCAAGTCAGTCAGCCAATCAGCTCAATATTAAAAATAGAATAACATGTTGTCAGTGCCGGCCAAGTAAACGGGACACCATCAATTACCGATATCAGTTATGAAGGTAGTTAATTAAGGACAGGTAGAATAACAAGCATTTTGGGTAATAACGAGTTAATAAATGACTTTCCATTGGAATATATGACATATTATAAAGCTTAAAAATGTTGGAATTGCGGAATTAATAAAATAAGATATGGTGTCATGACTCTAATACGCAATTAAATCAACCGGACCTGTATTTATATCACATGAACAGAAACACATTCAGGAGCTAGAGTGCCATCTGTAATCTTTATTTGCTTATATCAAATAACAGGCTTTATAATCGCTATCATTCGGCCTTTAGTTGACTTCGGGCTTTACAGAGGGGAGGAACAGACAAAGCCACAAATCTTGTAGAGGAGGAATAGGAGAGTGATTGACAGATATAAAAGAGACTGACACAAAGTTAGGGAGAAAGGTAAGGTGAGTACTGTGAAGTGATCGAATATGATATACAGTCAGGCCATGATGGTTTGTAGTCAGAAATCAACTGCCGATTAATCGAATTTTTTGCCGTATGAGTATACGTTGCCCAGGATGCACCACGTGGAGGTAAGTCTAGCGCACACTCCCCATCCTGAATTTCAAAACACTGGAATTCTCTGTCAGTAAGCATTCAATTCTCAAGTACGCTAAAGGAAGTGTTTTTTTTCAAATTTCATTTTAGACAAAAGGGACGACACCATGGAGCCTTCCTGATGAGAAAACCGAATTCTGCCACCTCTTAACAAAACTTACTTTACCAGTTTCTAGGCCGGACCGATCACTAGGTGGAAATGATGATTATCGAAGCCCTGACTTCTATTTTGAAGCACCTTAACAGCTGTGCGGACAGTGTGCACAAACTTCGAATGAGTCCCGAAATTCAAGTGAAATAAGAATATCTGGAGGCCTTACACTTACCTCCCTTTATTTGCCTGCTTCGAACTTCTCAGGTATTAAAAATTAATAAATTCGTCAACTTCCTGAAAGTGAAATATTAATTTTGATAATCAAATAAATACTATAGCGGTTTCTTACTATTGGTACTTTTTTGGAACTGAGACTTTTCCAAAGAGACTTTCGGAATATCCAAATCATTAATGATAAGTTACAGCCTCAAAAGCAGTTTGTGAGCTCAAACCATGATTAAAGTATTGAGGCAGGAAGAGGTCACCTACTCATTACTTCATGCAAAAGGTCAAATTCTTAGGTAAAAACAAGATTAAAATGGCGATTTACGTCAATATTTCTCTTATTAGAATTAAATCGTTCGGAATGTCCCAACCGCAGCACCTTTCCTACTATTAGCTGAGGCTACTTGTTTAGTAGTAATCACTTTAAATAAGCCTATGTTAATCATCACATATTGCACCAAGAATATTATTTTGAAAGTAAAGTATTACAAGCATTTGTCTGTTCAGGTTAACGGGGTACGTTTGTGGAGAGCACAACGTTTACATGGCTGAACTAAGGCATCTCATGCGCGTTCGAACATTCTGGAACGTGGGGCGTATTACTGATTGCGTAGGGAGAAAGTGGAGTCGCGAATGTAGGACCACTCAGCCAATCAGCGTTCAACAGTCGCCGTATGACCAGCGTAGTTAAACTTGTACTTTAATGACTAAATTCAGTGTCAGTGACACATACAACCTCAGTAAACGGTATTCGCGCCACGCGCTTTGTCCCCTTGATACTGGTGAGGTAGGTAAACTTACTTTGTGAGAACCTACATAGAAGGGAATTTGCCATAGAGACACTTGATGATTAATCAAAGCTAATTTGTTTGGCATCCGCTACGCATTTGCCTACAAATAAGCAGAAATTTTGGTGATCGATTCTATTAAGAAGTCAGACTTTACTCTAATGCATTTCTATATAGAACAAGGAACACAAAGGAGAAAGAAACTTGTTAAGAGGGATAAAGAAAGATACACTTATCAATGCCAAGTGTATGACTACACTACCATATAAAACCCGAACTATTTGATTAAGCAGTTCGCATCTTTTAGATTAGTCTGAGTCTGATGGTTATCCGAAGCGTAGATTACTCTATTTCCAGTTGGGCTAGTAAAAGGCGTGACCAAATTTGGGTCGCTCTACCTTCTTCTGCTTATAGGAGTGCACACCCAACCAATATACACTTTATGGGGAAGACCTACCTGATACGGTGTCCAGCCCAACGGAATACGACAGAAACCCAGGCATACTAGGAGGACATAAGTCAACTAATGGGCTAATAGCAACTATCATAAAGCCTGCAATATCCTCTTCTGCTTTGTCAAGGACTATACAGAGTAATCAATAAGTTGAGAAGCATTTTGATATGATTTGCCTAATTTCTATCCGAAAAGTTTGCTTTCATAATTATGAAAATGTCTACATCATAGGTTTGTAGGATTTTCTGGACTTGAATCTTTTCGTCCTGTGACATCCCTCCAGCATTCCACTGGAGGATCTGTAGATGTTGTGATTCGCCCTGACGAGGGCGATTTCTCTTATAGCTTTGTTTCAAGCTAATCATAATAAATATAAGTCAAAATGCCGAGTGATAGACTTTTTTGACGTATGAAGGTACGTTGCCCAGGGTGCACCGCGTGGAGGTAAGTCTATCGCGCACCCCTTATTTATAATCATCGAAGGACTGTTACCTGCAACAGTAATTACACACCAATATGCACGATCTAAAGCTGGTTTGCTATTTAAATATTCTAAGTAGCAATTATTATTAAAACCGGGTCTTCTTAATAGCCAATATATGACTATTTTTTCTAACACTAGATATGCAAGTGCATTTAAGCAACTGTGTGTTTTATTCTACCAATAGTGTAAACTTCAAATAACTCGAGCTAATCCTCATTGGCTGTAAACAACAGCAATGAAGAATTCATTGACGTGTTTTTCATTTTTTTTAATTTAAAGATGCAGGTGTTTTATTTTTCTCTAAGATCTTTGACATTAAATAAACAAGAATACTTTACCATTTTCTAACTTACAAGGCAAAAGCTATCTGAACATTAAAAACGGTCCCATTTTCTTCTTAGGCAAGGCAACTATACTACTAAAGAAAATTAAGTAGAATTTGGTTGTCACTTTGTGTTTAGTATCTAACAGCATTCTAGAAGAGCACATATAATTCCATTATTACACATATGCAAGATTCGCTCGTTTGGAAGCTAATAAGCTGAACACTTTTTTATTTTACAAATTTGCTCCAATTGAAGAGCAATCGAGTAACTATTTCAATAAATATTTACTTCTAAGTTTAAGTATCAAGTGAATGGGAAGAATTGGGAACATTCAACTCCATATGGGCATTCCTTCTTGTTGCAACTCATTACCATGTGTGAATTTTGAAAGATTTCCTAAAAAGGAAAACAGAACCATTCCCTTCGGGCGTTTATATTAGAAATATCCCTACTTGGATCTTAGTTTGGATTCAGAGGAAATTTAAATTTTACTGTTAATGTTTGACGATCAAAATACAGTAAGCTTAAGCCCAAGATCAGTTTTGATATCATTATTTTTCCACTGGTTTCTAGTTCAAATGAACCATAGCAGTACTGAACTTTAATCCGCCACAACACAGCTTCCTTGAAGAATAAATACAGAAACCGAGTGCTAGGGATCAATGATGACAAGTCTAAGATTAAGGACGTTTTAAGCAAACCGATTCGAAAGTGAAATCGAACTACCACATAAAGAAACGTCTGCTTGTATGTGGTCCGTTGACTCCTGAGGTTAGCTCAACCGGTGACAGCAAGTTTGCTTTTCTACCTACAACATCATATATGACTTTCAATTTGGAAGTCACGAGGTCTATGCCTATTAGTGCTCATTCAGCAACATGAATGACTAACTACAACGGTCAAAGGTGGTAAACAGAAGAAATAGTAGAGGATAAGTTATCCAGGAAAACGGCTCTACAATAACCTTCCTCTGACAAATTTAGTTATTTTTAACAATTACGCCAATGAATTGGTACTATACAGATACCCAAAAAATTTATCAGCCACCAAACCAACTCTCAACTGAAAAGAGGTCGCAATCATATATTAGCAATAAGGAGTGTATTCAATTGCAAATTTCGCAAATTACAAGCAACAATTTCTCTACTTTCTTCCATTTGCAGCGGACCCAGCGGCTGCAGCAGCCTGAGTGCGTTTGACGTTGAGATTGTGCAGACGTGCCAAACTCACTTCCACTGTTGTTGTCTGCTCTTTAAGGAAGGCCAGAGTCTCCTCCACATCGGCCATCGAAGTCTCTGCTGCAGCAAGATTCTGCAGAAGCATCTCCTTCGCTTCAGCCAGATCGTACTCGAGCATCACATTTGCGCCCAACCAGAGGCCAATCTGTTAAATTGAGACATATCTTCATAATCTATAGGAGTATGGATAAGAAGCAACTACAAACACTGAAAAAACTTCTAAATCCCAAAGCATGCTTCTAAAAATGATTCTGAATAACGACAGAGCACTTGTTTTGTCTCGAAACGAGGAAGTATACAAACCCCAGGTGGACTCAAGACCGCCTAGCACTGATAACATCTTGGATGAAAGAAACGTCGACAACCGACCTGCTATTCCTACTAACATTCTTTAGGAAACTAACAGCAAATTAAAGCGACCTTGGCTGTAGCTTCCCAGGGCCTAGCAGAAGGTACCAGTTTTCAAAACTACAACACTTTTTCGTTGAATCGATCGTTTGCATAGGTTAGTAACGGTAACGGAAGGCATAGATGACTTTAGGCACTTAATATTATACAAGAAATAAAGCAACCAAAATGGAATATTTCGATGAAAATTATTCCATTCAGTAGCGAAGGCAGCAAAACTCGAAAACGCACCGAGGAGCGTTTGACGACGGTAGGAATTACAAATAAATGTCTTAACTGCTTAACCCAAGCGAAAGCACTAGCGCACAAAATTAATTAGTCATGAGAGTGTTTGTCCATAAAGTGAAACAGTATTTTAAGACGGGGTGAACTGTATACTTTCAAGCTTATTTGGGCACTAAATACGGTGAAATAATCGTAAAATGTTATAAAACACCTGAATTTAACCAAAATAAGATTGAAAGAAGATTAAAAGTATAATAAGTGCCAAAAAAGCAACGAGAAACAAAACGAAATTACAAAGCTCAATGAATTTCAACAATAATGCAAGAAATCAGCATGACAGTGTGATTTGCATTAACGATTAGAAAATATTCAGTTAATGATTTCGATGACTGTTTCCACGAAGGCATTGTTCACCATAATAGATTTCAGTTGTAAACTCCGCCTTTTAGTTAAGAAAACGGGACATCTACGTTGATAGTTTGAGTATATGAAAAGGGGGATTTTAAATTGATCAGCGTGCAGAATTGAATGGGTATTTAATGAGGAAGACAAGAGAAGATAAACGCCTGTTATAAGTAAAGCCTAAGCTCCTTGATAATTCATAAGAACCACAATTTGGCAATATAATTATCCGCTATTATTCGATAAATGTATGATAATGGTGTACCAAAGAACGGACTAAATAGAAAATGAAATTGGGATTCACTAGATGAATGAAAGCAAATAGAACAAACACGAATAATACATGCAATATTGCTCCGTGGAGGAAAAAGATAGTTGCAATTTCCTCAGTTAATAGACTTCAAGATTATTACCATTTCAATTAAAGTTTTTTGATAATCGATCTTAATTATATTAGCATGAGAATAAATAAAATAAAATGTATAACCAGCATTTTCTTGCATATAATTTTGCACTTTTTAGCACTAGGAAATAAAAGCGTTGTAAAGTAATTTTGGCCATTCTGTGCCCAAAGCTAAGATTTTCAATGAAACAATATAATTGTTCAACTATTCAAGGAAACGACTAAGAAATGTAGCAAAAGCGGATTCAACAAATAAGCGAACAAGTGAAAAAGGTTACCCTATCGGCCTTTTCGATATGGGCCTTTGCATACAGCTGATCGAAGACTTCAAATGTGACATCAAAATTCTCATTATTCTTTTCAAAATGATTCACAACATCGAGAGTCTTGGTGATATCCGGCATCTGTTGAAGTAGTCGAAGCTTGCGCTGGAGGAAAGCCTGTTCCATGAGCTTGTACTTTTGATATAACTGATCGAGGGCTTTCATAGCCTCACTAATTGTTGCATAACCATTAGCCTTAAGGTATTCATCAACATCCTCAATAAAAGTGGCCTTGGGAATCCCCTTAATGGTACCTGACTCTTTAGAACTGTCTTCGGGGCTGCTTAAAGAGGGATTTACGGCTATTGCAGACATGGTCCAGGAATCCACTGGAAAGAAAGTCGAATTAGAGGTATTTGAGGTTTAAAAAAGCAAAAAATAAGGTAAAATGGTTAAATTGGTATATAACGACAAATGAATAATCGACATAGAGGTATTGCTAAAAACAATAAAATGATCGTACAAACTCGCTATAATATACAGACAGGTTAGCGTGGACCTCGCTACAGTAACGTGAATTGTAGGCTAAAATACGCAATATATATTATGCTTTGAAAAATAAAAAAATGCAACTATAAAACAAAAAGAACATGTTAGTCCATTTGCACTTAATTTATTACTAACAGGAGGCTTTTAATTCTTCATCAGTGTGATTTGTTTATTTACAAGTTAAACACTTAATCTATTGTGAATATTTTATTAATTCATACATCAAAACGGAATAGTTTGGCTTATGATTTTACCATAGTATTTGTCAAAGTTTTGCTTATACCTCTCAGATTTGCAAGGACGCTCATCGTTACAAAAAAGCGCAGGCTTTTAACTGAAAATGCTGGGCCTTTTGATGTTTGTTTATTCTAATAAAACTGAATAGATGAATTTACTGCTATTTTTTGGGTTTTCCTATATATCAATAATTAAATAATATAGCCACCTTTAAGAATACGATATTACGTACTTAACTTTAATTCTGATTACAGATTAAACTTCCTAATCCAACAGGTCAAATCAGATTTATTACCATTTCGAAATACAAGCCTTTCTCGTAGTGAACGTGTGACCGACCTCTTAGGCCGCTTGACACTTGAAGAACTCACTCAGCAGCTTCAATATGGCGGTGCTGGTGCTGCTCATGGTCCTGCTCCAGCAATTGAACGTCTTGGAATCGGTCCATATCAGTGGCGCTCTGAGTGCCTTCATGGCTATGGCTTTGATGGCGATGCTACAAGCTTCCCTCAATCAATCTCTTTTGCGGCTTCATTCGATAGAGAACTTATTCATTCCATGGCTAATGCCACTGGTTTTGAAGCTCGGGCCAAATATAATGGATATGTTCGAAATGGGGAATATCAAGTTAGTAAAATATTTGTAAGTTTGAACAAAGTTTATATATAGGATCACAAGGGTATTCATTGTTTCTCCCCTGTTGTAAACATATTGCGCCACCCACTTTGGGGTCGAAATCAAGAAACATTAGGTGAGGATCCATATCTTACTAGTGAACTCTCAAATGCTTTCGTGCGCGGTTTATCTGGCCTTCCCGCACGAGGCAAGTTATCTCGAAAATATGTTGAGGAAGAGCACATTTTTCTCACTGCTGCCTCTTGCAAACACTTTGCTGTACATTCGGGTCCCGAGAATTTAGCTGCCTCAAGACTCAGTTTTGAAGCTAATGTATCAGCTGCCGATATTTGTCTCACTTTTCTCCCAGCATTTAAAGGTTGCTTAGCTGATGGTATTGCTCAATCTGTGATGTGTTCTTATAATGGTATCAATGGAATTCCTAATTGTGCCAATAAGTGGCTTCTCAAGACTGTTCTCAGAGAAATGATGGACTTTAAAGGTGAGTCCTATTTTCGACCAATATTTATTGAAAGAGTGGTTAAGTAAAGATGAGGTTTTCCATTCAGGTTTTGTTATAAGTGATGAAGGAGCACTCCAGTTTATGGTTTCTCAGCACAAAGCATTCAAGACTTATCTAGAAGCTGCAAATGCGGCTTTCAACGCGGGGACAAATATTGAGAACTCGCAAGAAGTTGGTAGGGGTGTTTATAGTGCTCTGCCTTTGCTTGTTCAGTCCAATGTTATCAAGAGGTAGACTCAACTTTGTATGCTAATTATTTAAATTATTGCTTCCATCTAGATATCAGCTGGAGGAAATGAATCGACCTCTCTTCCTCACTCGAATGAGACAAGGTGAATTCGATCCACCAGAAGACCAACCATTTGCCAAACTGAATAAGGAGGATGTGAGTTCTTTGAATACTGTTTGGAGCTTTTATCCTGATTTAAATGTTAAAATAATGAAATTGAAATTTTTTGTTAGTTCTGGATACACAACTTTTGTAACATATAGAATTACCTGAAAATGTAACTTCATAGAAGGAAAGTACATTTATATTTCTGTCCAATTATTTTATTGGTAGCCTTTCTCAAAATAGGATTTCATTTGAAAGGGAAACAACCAGTGGCACTCAGTGAAAGTGTCTATTGTGTTTTTCTTTGTTATGAGGTGAAATTTTTTTTTCAAGCGAGAGAATTTTAACCAAACACACACGCTTTGCCATTTTACATTTATTATTAGCTTGATCGTGTGCATTATTTATAAGATCGGAAACTTTAGGGTAATATTACTGCTCAAAACATAATAGAAAAACAAATTTTTGATAAATGACTCCTATGTTTCCTCTCCTTTAAGACAGTTATTTCTAACAAGTATATATAAAAGTCAAATGTGGCTTGAAAATATCAGGACCCCATTGAGATAAACGACATTTTTGCCTGAGAAATCACATGTGGCGGATTGCTACGCTAGTAAAGCCTGACCGACTCAGAAATCTCTATGGCAGATTCTCCAACATCTAGCTAGACTCCTAGAACAAGCTAAGCTATAGCCCAGCTATAAGGGAAACAGACGTGTAGCACGGAATACGTTTATTCGGTACGTATATTGATAGCGAAGTGTAATGTTGGCTAAGCGATTAGTTATCAGATAACTCTAGCATAATTCGTTTGAACTTTAATAGCTAAATATTTCTGAGTAGCATTCTATAGCAGGATTTCTATTTGGTCATTGATGAAGTGTCCCACACACATATAATCTTTCTTTCAGTTTCTTATCAGCTACATTTTTTGCTAAAATAAAATTAACGCCAAAATATTAATCATATATTTACAAAGGTTAATACATTTTATCATTAGAAAGGCAAAATGCCCCAATTAATTTTCTCATGATAAACTCTTGCACTTGTAACTAATTTGTCAGTATGGACGATGTTTATATCGAATACTTCCACCATTCTATCAGTCACCCAACTCTACCAACCACACTGTTTATAAGCCATGCTTTGTTTATTATTTTTCGCAGTTCATTCAATCAGACAGACACCGGCGTCTTTCGTTGATTGCAGGATGTCGTGCCACCATTCT